AGCATCCATTACCAAAACTCGAAGAAATATTTTCATGCCTTAATGGAGGTAAAAATTTTTCGAAACTTGATTTCAGTCATGCTTATCTACAAATGAAGGTGCATCCGGAGAGCCAACGATTATTAACAATAAACACGCATAAGGGGTTGTATATTTGTAAAAGCTTAATGTATGGATTAAATGCTGCCCCAGCTATTTGGCAGCGCTATGTTGAGGGATTATTTCAGGAGATCGAAGGAATTAAAATTTTTATGGATGATGCTCGAGTGACAGGACCGGATGATCAGTCTCATTTAAAAGCATTGGAAATATTTTTCAAAAAATGCAAGGAGCACGGCCTAAAATTAAACTTAACTAAAAGTAATTTTTTTCAAAATGAGATTAAATTTTTAGGGCATAAAATGGATGCGCAGTTGCTAATGCCCCTATGCCGAAAGGCGTCCAAGTCATCAAAAGCTTTTTGGGATTAGTGAATTTTTATGCAAATTTTGCCCTAATTCGGCAACTTTGGCACATCCCTTAAATAATTTAACAAAAAAAGATGTTAAATGGGGTTGGTCATAAAACTGCCAAATCACTTTTGAAAAAATAAAAAAGGAAATTTGTTCAGACAGAGTTTTAATGCATTACGATCCCACATTACCGTTAATGCTAGCTACTGATGCATCTCCGGTAGGTCTTGGGGCAGTGCTCTCGCATGTTTTGTCTGATGGAACAGAAAGGCCTATAGCATTCGCATCGAGGACACTGACTAACACAGAGCAGAAATACGCCCAAATCGATAAAGAAGCACTGTCAATTGTTTGGGCTGTCAAAAAGTTTTATCTATATCTAAAGGGGAGACGATTTTCTCTGGTGACAGATCATAAACCTTTAGTGGCTATTTTCAAATCGAAAAGAGGACTTCCTATCCTCACAGCCACCCGACTCTTACATTATGCACTGATATTGCAAGCATATCAGTTTGATATTGTGTATCGAAATACCAAGGAACACGGTAATGCTGACTGCCTGTCGCGCCTGCCCTCTTAAGTCCGAAGATTTAAGCATTAAGGATGATGTTGAAATATTCCAAACTCTCCCAAATTGAAACTCTTCCGGTAACAGCTAGGGAGATAGCTCGGGAAACGCGAGCTGAACGCGAGCTGACGAAGAATTAAATAGTCTTTATATGAAATTAAAATCTGGAGAAAGTTTGGAAGGTAGGGAAGCCGAGTACACCTTACAAGATGACTGTATAATGAGTGGTCAGAGGGTAGTTGTTCCGAAAAAACTCCGAGTTAAAATTCTCGAAGAGTTACACCAAGGACATTTAGGAATCGTTAAAATGAAGGCAATCGCCAGATCCTACGTCTTTTGGAAGGGAATTGATCATGATATTGAAGAAGTTTCTAGGAACTGTGTTCGATTGTATTAAGTTCAAATCAGATCCAGTAAGGGCAAGGGTCCATCACTGGGAATATCCAAGTGCGCCTTGGGAAACGCATTCACGTAGATTTTGCAGGCCCTATTTTTGAACGAATGTTCTTGATTATCATTGACGCACATTCTAAATGGCTAGAAGTGTATACCTTAAAGTCAGCAAATTCCTTTCAGACAATTGAATGTTTGAGAGACTGTTTTGCAAGATACGGACTGCCTGCCTTTAGTAGTAGTGAGTGACAATGGTCCTCAGTTCACATCGGGGGAATTTGAAACTTTTATAAGGAATAATGGAATTAAACACAAAACGTGTGCTCCATTTAAACCAGCAAGTAACGGGCAAGCAGAGAGCGGTACGTTTACACCGTTAAACAAGCATTACATTACGTGCAATGCAAGGTTATCCAGGAAATATTAAGCAAAAACTTGCCATATTCCTCATGAATTATAGAAAGGCACCGAACATGACAACCTTGTTAAGTCCAGCAATGCAATTGTTAAGTCCAGCAATGTTATTCTTAAAAAGAGAAATTAGAACTCGAATTGATTTAGTTGTTCCAAATCTTAAACGAAGAGTGGAAGAACGCATCCGAAGGAATACTTATGATTTCAAAGACAGAAATTTTGAGATCGGAGAAAAGAAAAGGTTGCCATTCGGGATTATAGATCGGCAAATTCCCGATGGAAAATTGGCAGAGTGACAAACAAGGATGGAGCGCTGCATTATACCATTGACGTTCAAGGAACTTTACTGCGCCGGCACGTCGATCAGATCAGATCGGTAGGGAGCGAGGTTCCGTCTGCACCGGTAATCTATGAACCTCGTATGGCTGCTACTTCAGATGGCAACGTGAAGCCACAGGCTCCGGACAAGGACATCGAACAAAGAAGTGAAGCTGTGCAAACTTCAGCCGGACTTGAAACATCGTCAGTTCCAAGGAAAACTGATCCAGTCCTTCCAGTGGATCCTGATAAAGAGTTGCAGCAACCTCAGCCAGGACTTAGACGATCTTCGCGCATCCGCAAAGCTCCTCAGAGATTAAATCTCTAAATAAGTGGGGAGGGATGTAGCATCTGATTTCGAGAGTATCAGTTACTCTTATACCCGAGAACCTCTGTGAACGAGAGTAGAGTAGAATGTAATGTAACTGCGTAAATAGCGCATCGCTGCTGTCTTATGAGTTAGTTAGAAATAAATGTTTGTGCCGTGAACTAGTCTGTTTTGGTTGCGTCATGCACTTCACTGAACCCACACCGCTAGACACAACAGTGGTCTTATACATTACTTTTATGTTTTTTTTTTATTTGCTCCAGGGAAAAATCGTATTTTTAATTTCATGCTTTTTTTGCCTTTCCTTTGTAATAATAAGCTTACAAAAAGTCATGTTTTTTCTAACTCTTCCTTTGCCTGATTTTGCATTATCCTTAATTTATGGACATGAGTTTAGATTTATCACTTGAGTCTAGCCTCTTCAAAATCCGATTGGTGATCACTAAACTTTTCTTCACCAACTATTTCTTCGTCCTCTTCATTAATTGTATCTTCATCAGTCGACACTTTGGCTAATAGTTTTTGTAGTCTTTTCATTTCATCGTCATAGCTCAAATAGCAAGACTTTTTTGCAACTGCCGGATCTCTTTCACAATTTTAAATGACAATGCGAGTGCGGTCCTCGGCCCTGGGAAGCCCAGTTACTCAGTTTCTGAGAAAAGATGAAGGGTTAAATTCCGGAAATGCTTGTGAATGACAAGTACATGACTTTAAACGCAGCTACTAAGAAGGTCGAAAAATTTCACCAAAGGGAGAAATTTTTGTGTTACGTTTTTATAAAGACCGAGCCTCGCAGGCCTGACGCGCGTTCTCGAGGATTAACGTGTTTTTTCAAGTGGACACGTCGGGAAATGGAACAGAAAATTGAAACTAAAGTTTCTGACTAAGTTTTTTTCAGTTAATATTCAAAAAGAGTTTCATATACAGTTTCAATTGTCTGTTTTGACGAAACGCGATATGGAATTAGCTGGATTCGAAAATCAATATAAAATTTCCCCTGAAGAGTCAGTAATGAGATTCGAATTAGGCTAATCTACCATTTACCCTTTTTTTGGTTTTGTATTTTTGCTTAAGTCTTTTTGCTAAATTTTGTATTTTTGCTTGTCACACTTTTATTCTATTGTTTAAAGTTTGCCTTACTTTGATAAACATATTACTTAAATTAGATTTGAATTTTATTTGTAACTATTCTAGTGATGATATTGTTTATTTAATGTTTACACTTTTCATTGCACTTTATTTTACTTATGTTAAAATTTGTCACCAGAACCACAGTACCTAGCTACTTTTTAGCGTAAGCACTAAGAATTTTCTTTTGTTTTCTAAATTTTGCAGCTGAATGCACAAAGTTCTTAGCCACAAAGATCTTTTTTAGTTTATTCTGCTTTCTTTAATTATATACATACAGTGTATATAAATTTTTTGGTGAAAATTTTGAATGATCATATATGTAATCAAGAGATAAAATTAAATCAAAATTTGATCACCTTTTTGGTGATCTAACTTTGATTTAATATTTGTCTCTTGACTATTTAATTTCCAATAAACTGTGAGACATTAATAATGTATATCTTTATTTGAAATTTTGTCAACTTTATATATATATATATATATATATATATATATGTAAAATATAAAAAAAATACGATGGCTTTGCTCTACGCAAACAGGCAACCTCTAGTTAACTTTCCGCAATTTAGGATCTCCCCCCAGACCAGTTTGAGAACATTCTAGCCTATTATGTAACACCTAGTATAAATAACGAATGCACGCCATTTTGCGAACAGTAGCTTGCCCCTCCTCCTGTGCTGTACATTTCGCTGCTGCTTAACCTATCTTTCCTTTGTAAGAAATAATGATGACACGGGAAGTTTAAATTCAGTTGTACTTAGTTTAACTGACTATTGAATATGTAATTTGGAAAATATCACATATATATATCTGAAAAAGCTATGATCTAAATATTAATTTGTGATGATATGTACCTAATTCTTTAACAGTAATATGTATTGAATGTCTTTTTATGAGAATTTTTATGTAGTTTTTCTTTTAAAATATAACCGTAACCCTTTTTTTTCCTTCTGCTTTACCTATCTTAACATCTTTTATCTCTATTAACCCTCTGAATGGCATGGGATTTTGGATCTATCATAAAGACCTGTATTTAAACAGTGTTTATTAGCCAAATTTATATAATTATTTTAATTTCTATTTTTCATAAACTTACATTCATTAAGATGACATTTACATTATTAAAAAATCATATCTTGAATTATAAGCTAATATGTGGCAAGGGACCAAAAAATCTACCAGATAAAACTAGTCATGCCGCTTAGAGAGTTAAAGATATTATATAGTCGTACACTCCTTTTTAGGTTAAGGATTTCTAAAGTGTATTGTTTATAAGTATAGTTCGAACTTTTATCACTTAAAAGAATTCAGCTGTTGTAGTGGTGCTAATAGTAAAATATCTTAATATTTAAATGAATAGTATTAAATGCAGAAGTTCATAGAATGTATTTGAACTATAATTGGCTAAAGTTAACATTTCATTTTAGGTATATCCAATGAAGTACATACTTGTAACCGGCGGTGTGATTAGTGGCATTGGAAAGGGCGTTATTGCAAGTAGTATTGGTAAAGTTTTAAAAAGTAATGGTTATGAGGTCACAGCCATAAAAATTGATCCATATATTAATATTGATGCTGGAACATTTTCACCTTACGAACATGGTAAGTTATAATGCTTGATTTTCATGTAAATTGTTGACATGCTGTAAAAGGTTTTGTAACATTTTTTCATGTATCTACATCAGTTAACCCTTTCATTGCATATCCCACAATTTCCATGGGCAAAGTAGAAGTAGCAAAATTTATGCTACCCGTGATTTCCGTGGGGATGCCTGTTTTCATATATTTCAGTGTGCAACCCACTCATGGTTTTTTTTCAGCTTTTCTGTGATGTTTAATTGTTTATTCAGATCTTTTTTCGATTAACAAATAGCGGTAGTAGTCTATATTTTTGCGAAATATACAAGCATATTTTGCACCATTTTGTGCACTCTTTTTCAAAGCTCAAATATATCTGCAGTTAACTCTTAATCCCATGAGACTAACTGCTCACATTTTGCTAGCCGTGTACCCTCCAATTCCATCAAGAAAGAGCCTCGTAAACGGTGTGCTGTTTGTTGCTTAAAAAAACTGAAACTTGCAAATGACTTTGCAAAGCAAAGCGAATTTGGTGCAAAGATTGGCAGGTAGGACTTTGCCTCGAGCCTTGTTTCAAAGTTTATCATATTAAACTTCATTTTTAATAAATGTTTTATAAGTATTATGCATATTTTCTTTAGTATACAGTACAAAGCTCAAAATCCGGACTTGTCGGGACTTCGGATTTTTCCGGATATTAGATCATCAGTGTAAATCTAGTAAGATGGCATGTAGAAATTATAAAATTAAAAATATGAAATTGTGATTTATGAAATAATGAAGTATTTATGATCTAAAGGGTATCAAAATTTACAAAAAAAAAAAAAAAAAAAAAAAAAAAAAAGAAACTTAATATTTATTTGTTACCTTATTAAACATTTCTTTCAATGCAAGTTGTTTAAGTTGCTTCGTTTTTTATGCTAATACTTTTTCTTTAATTCTGTAGACAGACATCATCTCTTGTTTAGTTACATTGTTTAAGTCCTGTAACTGCTGTGTCGAGAATTCCGACTAACTTATCAATTGAAATTTTTTTCATTGTCAGTAACTTCTCTGTCACTTTCTTCACTATCGGTAGCGGTATTTTCTGGATATAGAACCATACTACAGATATCGTCATTCATTAATTGATTGATGATTGAGAAGCTTTGTCATCACAATGAAAACTTCTTTTATATCATCATTTATTACCGCTTCTCCACGTTTATTTACAAAATCCGTTAATTGGAAAATTTACCTTTGTTTTGCAATATCTGAAAACCATTAAGATTTGTGGCTATCATCATCAAATTGAGCTGTTGTTCACCACTATACATATTTGGTTCAGCATCATGAGCTTGTCGACTAATAACAAGTTGTTCCATTAAATTTTATCTTGCTTCTATCACGCACTGAGACAACTAAGCTTGAATTGTATTAGTTTAATTATTTATTATACTTATGTCTATTTCTTGCACATTCTTAAAGCTTATCAGAGTTCTGAATAAATAAATTCTCACATGTACTTAAACCTTATTGAGGGCCGGCACTAGATGTCTTACCGCCTGATGCCTCTGTGGGTCCTAAATTCTGCGATTCGGTATGAGCCCTGGCGCTGCTTCTGGGTTTATGTGAATAACAACAGAGTTGCCACGCTACCTGGAAAACCGGGAGAACCGGGAAAAGTCAGGAAATTCGAAAATTGACCATAATATTCAGGGAAAAGTCAGGGAATTTAAGTATTTTTGTCAAAATCTGGAAAAGTCAGGGAAGTTCATACAACGATCCCTCCAAAAAAAGCGATTTTTGCGCCGACGTCGGAAGAGATAACTTTTGGCGAATTATGTATCACGTGAGTGTCATTCGGGTAGCTGGCATAGAGCCAATTTTCGCAGCTCCAATTTGATTGTTTTTTAGAAAGGCAAAGCAACTTTCCCGCAAGTTTTGGTTTCCAGTATTCTCGAGAATCGCATGTGCAGTGCATGAATTAAAGAAAGTACCTTTTCTCGTAAAAAACAAAATGGGTTTAATCCTAGTATACGGTACCATGGAGGTTAGAATCAAAGAATATGTATTGTAAAGAAGGAAAACCTCTCTGCAACAGACGTGGCTCCTTTACATCATAGAGGGAAACAGCTGTGCATGTCTGATATATCTGTCGCGGAAGCTCGAAACCGGTGTCGAAGTTCGAAGGTCACGTTATCAAGAGTTCATAAAATGAATATCGTTTAAAATTTCTTGAACGACTTGCGCTAAAAAGACGTGCCACGCACGTCGAGATGCTTTTGTCTCAAACCGTGAGCGACGTGAACACCACGTCGATAAGCATTTATCGCAAAAATGAAAATAACGTGGTGCACACGTCGCCTAACAACGAGATTGTTTATTTCTCGAGTTACAGATCTGGATTGCACTCGCAGATGCGGAGCGGCGTAAATGAGACACTTTACCGCTTGTTATATTGTAGCGCACGGCACCGCAACCGTGAAGTTTAGTCTTAGCGCAAGTGGTTAAACTCTAAAGGAAAAGAAAATATTTTTTGGCGCAAGTAAATTAATTCATGGATTAGTTATTTTCAGAAAAAAAAAAAAAAAAACTACGAAAATCCGTTTTTAAAATTATTGCGAAAAATCCAAGAAGAAACGCCCTTTGATAAAACGTTTCTTCTTGGATTTTTCGCAATAATTTAAAAACGGATTTTCGTAGTTTTCTTTTTGTCAAAGAGCGTTTCTTCTTAACACGTGTTTCTCAATTTCCTGTACACATCGCGGAGAGGGAAATTCTGGCCGCCAGGTTCCGTCGCCAAATCCCTTGGCAAATTTTCCCTCCGCATTCTAGCGGCGTAATAGCATTTTACTTGTATGGAACCTTTTCTTCTTTACATAGACGTTCTTTGGTTAGAATAATAATAAGATTTGGCGACATCATGATGCGCAGTAAACGGGTCATTTTGGTCTTGGCGACAATTTTCAAAATCGTGCCCAAAGCCTTACCGTATACTAGAATTTTACCGCAAAATCTTTTTAAAACCTTTTTTTTTTTTTTTCTTTTTAATAAATACCTTGCCATTGTGCAGTAAAATAAAAAAAATAGTAATCAGTCATCTAGGCTAGACATGTAATATAACTATATTCGCTAAAATATCGTTGATTATTATAATTCAATTTTTAAGTAATTATTTTTATGTTATTCATATAATTTAATGTTGCTTCTTCCCTCTAAATTTATTTATTATTAGTAAATAATATTTCCAAATTTCAGGAAATTTTCTCTGGCATAATCCTGGAATTAATTATAGCAGTATGATGACATACCATCACGAAATTTAATGCACATATTTTTTCCTTATGTATGCTGCGAAATTAATATAAAATACCTCAATTTATTAAATTAGATTTCTTTCTTTCGTTTAGCTGCAGAATGTCTGCAAAAAAAGCCTTATTTTATTCCAGATTGGGAAGATTCTAATCTCAATCTTCAGTGGAGAAAACAAAAACTATTATAATTATATTTGTGTTTTCAAGTGTTAAGGTGCCTTTTAAGAACATACCTCACGCAAATTAAATTTACCTAAAATCTAACCTAACTATTTAGCATTGCGTTGTGATTTATAAGGACCGGATTAGCCTCGTGTTGAATTGGTGATGATCATGAGTATTAAATAAAACATACATTTGTTATCCAATGTATATATCTTAAATTTTATTAAGTTTCTTAAGTGAAAACTAAACAAAATTATCAAAGTATACCAAGAATAATTAAGAATAAATGTCCTCTGGGATTTATTGAATAATTAAGTGAATTTGCTACACAATACAAGTAATACCATAATTAATTTACCTCTTAGCACAGCCAACGTACATTATGCAGATAGACTGGAATTTTCTTGAAACACACCTGGAAAACCTGGAAAAGTCAGGGAATTTCATTCTCCTGTTTGAGTGGCAACCCTGTAACAAACCATTTATTCTTAATTCAAACAGCCCTAAATGTACTCTTTGGGTCTATGAGTATCATCAACAAAATCTATTTCTGGAATATGGAAAGAAATTTTTGTTAAATTTTTCGGTACTTACGTATTAACGCAACCAGGCCAAAATTCGCATAAATCGCCAAATTTGGCGACCCTACTTACGGCAACCCTACATGTTATACGTAGTTTTTTGTAAAGAAATTATTCGTAAAGCAATGGGTTTTCGGTAGAATTTGCCGAGAAAAGAAAGAGACTTTTTTGGTTACTGTACCTAACAGAAGCGCCGTGACCCTCATGGAAAAAATTTGCGAAAATATCAAGGAAGGAAGCATCATTTATTCAGATTGCTGGAAAGGATACAATACAAGTGAGTTCGAAAATGCTGGATTTCTGCATTAATCACAAATATAACTTTGTGGATCCCAACGTGGGCGTTCAAACACAACATGTAGAGCGCATGTGGGGCTCATCCAAATGGCGCAACAAAAAACAGAGAGGAACAGCCTGTCATCATCTTGACTCATACCTTATCGAATTTATATGGCGCCAAGCTCAAGCTGTTAATGGCGAAGACGGTTTTCAATCAGTGCTAAAAGCAATAGCCAAAAGATTTCCGCTGTAAAAATAATTCTGCAACTTATTCAAATTCAAAACCGGAAGGGTTTAATTGCTATTTTATATTTTAAAACAAAATAATATAAAAACTGTATTAAAAATTATCTGTAATTAATAAATGCACATTTTCTTTCTATTAATACTTTTTTACTCAAACTTACAAATCGCGCCAACCTGGTTGCGATAGTACGTAAGTACCAATTTTTCCTCATCAACATTTTGTAGCACATTTAACTTAAATCTGTAATCATCATCAAGTGTAATGTCAACATAAAAGGTTACCATTATCCTTTATTATTCAATTACTAACATAAGAAAAATTGTTTAGGCATCTCTACACGAGTCATTACTCAAGTAGTCATGTGTTGATAAACATGTGGTGATGAAATGAAAGTATAATAAATAATGATTCTCCAGGTTGGCGTCAGATCAATGATCTATCTATGTGGAATGTTTC